TGGAAACAAATGTTACAACCAATTGCGGAAAGAATTATTACTTTAAAGGACAATTTTCATGTAAAACAAAGTCAAACGAATACAAAAAAATCCAAAATTTTAAAATTTTCCAGGTAGAAAATTATACCAATCAAACACACTTAATTAACAATTTCTTGGAAAACAAGTTCTAGTCAATTATTTTCTCTCAATTTCATTTTCTTTCCACCAATTTTCCACCATTGCAATCAAACGGACCCTAACAGCAACTTGGGATGATAATGGATCAAGGCAACCCTTCCTGTCCTTATTTTCTTATTAACTGCGAAATTTCACTTCTTCTGACGTGGTACGTGATATGATATTTTGTCATTCTTACCATGTATCTTAACTCCTGTATGACTATCATTATTTCAAAATTATTTTTTCCGCACACTCATTTTCAACCAAATATTCACATAATAAAATATGATTTTTTCTATTTGTATATCAAAATGGTACATAAACAGTTATCGAAAATGACGTGGAAGGAAAAATTGAATGAAAAAGATGATTGTATTTTAAATTGACAAATGATAGAGTGTCATATGGTATTACGTAATGAGAACAATATATTTCTAAGGTATTTACTTTACACCATTTCAAAAANAGGGAACAATACATTTCTAAGGTATTTACTTTACACCATTTCAAAAATACAAAAATAAGTTTCAAATTTCACAAATCAAGTTTTTTAATTTTTTATTTATGAAATAACGAATTATTAAATCAATTTATTATTAAATATTTAATTCTAATATAATATAATTACCCCACCGGCCCACCCTACCTCGTCCACCCCTATCATTCGGGGACTATTTCGACTACCGTTCCGATCACAACTCATTTTTGATGACCGTTCCGACGACTGTTCTGATTCCGACGACTATTCTGATGACCATTCCATCACCACTTTGTTTCGGCGACTGCTCTAATTCTGACAAGTGTTCTAACTCCGACAAAAATTTTTAGGTCACAATTCAAAATTTTCATATGTCACAATTTGTTTATCGATCACAATTTAAAAATTTAAAAGTCACAATTTATTCATCGGTCACAAATCACAAAATTTATAAGTCACATTATTTATTTTATGGTCACAAACGTCACATTAATTGAACATAAATTATATTTAGGTCACAATTTATCAAATAATNCATCTCAAAACCAACACCACACCCTCCCCAACACACTGAGCCACTGTCAAACGCCACCACCGCACAGAGCCAACGTCAAACACCACCCACCGCCGCATGCACACCCACAATACCCAACCCACAACCTCACCAACATCTCACCATCACCAATGCCTCACCGCCGCTGATCCACCGACATCCACCACTACAACCTACTTCAAATCACAACCATCACCATTGCTTCGCCACCGCACATCACAACCTCCACCACCCAATTACAAACACCACCAGAATTTGCTAACCACCACCAACCGAAATCAAAATCCAAGGCCAACATAAATTAAATATGAGTAGCGAAAAAACACTAGATCCACGTCGTCGCCACTACAATCATCTAGAGAATTCAGATCCAAATCCAGATCTGTTGAGGAGAGGAAGAGGGAGACGGAGAGAGAAATTCAAATTCGGCCTCGCGAGAGGGTGTTGACGGCTTCATTGAGAGGGAGATGGAGATCCAGCGGAGAAGAAGTAAAAAATGGTGGAGTCGCTGTCGTGAAGAGAGAGTGAAGAACGGTGAGAGAGTGGAGAAATGGTGATTGGTGAGAGACGGCGAGGTGAAGAACGGCGGTGGCGACGGGAGGAGAGAAAACTAAGAGGAGAGAAAATTGACGGGATGATAAAAAATGAATTTTAGGTTTGATTAGGGTTATTTTAATTGTGATAAAAATAATATGATTAATATTTAATAAAATAAAAAAAAACCTAATTTTTGAAAAGTTAAACTAGTAATCGGATTTGTGAAATTGATATTTTAAATACCTGCTTGGTGTAGTTTCCTCTTACGTAATCTCTTACATATAATAAGATTCATAAAATATTCTGGATCATTCACTTGGCCAAGGCCACAGGGGCCCGGCGGCCCCGGCCATCCGAGCCAAATAGCAGAGTCCAAATATTCATTACATACAGTCACATTTTTTTTTTACTTTTTAATTACATATTCTTCAAGAAAAATTTTACCTTTAAAATGGTTGTCAAACAGGGGCTAAAGTTCCCTTAAAAACGCGTTTCAATCCCCGAAATTTATCTGTCTCCTGGCGCGAAAATCTCCGACCCCAAACGAACCCCCCTTCTCTTTCTCACACACAAACGCACTCTCATCTTCATTATTCAAATGAGTGCAATGCGGAACGAGTATTGATGAATTCTATAATCATTGTAAGTATATCATAATTACCATTTTCATTCTAATTCCACGACATGCAATCCAATCCAATTCATATTGATTTGATTCATCCCAAATTTTGTTCTCCGTCTTCTATCCTCCAATTTATTCAATGTAATAACGTATATGGTACTTATTGATTTTTTTTTGGAGATAAATATGCATTTATTTCAAGATAGCATTGAAATTCTCAATTTCTTCGTGTTGAGGCTTTGGGTGATTAAACTTAATTCATCAAGCACACATGCATATCACGAAGGATGTTTTCCTAATTGCTAAAAAAACGTTGTTTATACAATCTAAATTAGTGTACAATTTCGGTATGAAGCCATTTGTTTTTCTGCATATGCAATCACTTTAGATATTTTTTTTTTGGTTCAATTCTACTTTTTGTCAAGAAATTTGCGAGTTCTCTTCGTATGCAGATATTTGGGAGGCGAAAGCACATGCAGAAAGGGAGAAGAATATGCCTTTTTGATAGTGTGATAGACAAGACCAATCAATTCTTAGTTCTAATGAAAATATGTACTGCTTGATTTTCTGTTGCCAGTTTTAGCCGGAAGGCTAATTGGAGAACTTGCAGCTTGATATCACACATTGCGCAAATTGTTTGCATTTAATCACAATTTATGGATTTTTATTAATCTGATATAGTTTTTCTCAACTTGTATTACAGGTTTCATATATGTGCTGTTTCATGCTATTGTGTGCCGGTTGAAGAACATCCTCTGATTCTTCTCTGGTCAAAACTGATAGTGTGAGATTTTTTACCTTAATGTTCTATGCCATTGATCTTACAAAATGTTCAGTTCTGGTTTCAAGTCGCAATTTATAGGCGGTCAGAAAGAGAAATTTGTAAGGTACAGTCACCTTGTTTATATGAACTCCTATTTTTCTCGTTTTATATAAATTGTTTTGTCACCATTGTGAATGTGTTTATTGTTGGAAGTTCTTTGGTATTCGTTATATCTTACTTAAACAATCCGAGTTTAGTAAGCCGTAAAACCAAAATTGAGTCTGGCTATTGAACTATCATTGATCTGATACAATGAGAAACCAGTGTCCATAACAAATAATCTTTGACATTTTCACTTAATCAGGGATTCTATCTTTTGTAAAATGTAATTCGTTTAATGCAAACACTAGGAATTATGTGGTCATATAAACCTGTACACACGTGTCTTTTTAATTTCTTCTATCAACTAAGAAAGAAAGAGTTGAACCTTGTGTATTGGGATATGTGAAGTTCATAATTGGACGTGTCCCCATTCTGATTCAGTCTATTAGACAAATTTCTGCTTAACTTTTTGTTTACCTGTTCAATTCTTAGATAATTCTCCCTAGCCACATTATTGACTTCTAGTTAGGGATCAATAACCCACGCATTCTTATGAAAAAATGATATCCATTGGGAGAATTTCAAATGATACTCTCGCCAGGCATCAGCTTTAGCCTGAGTGAGCTTTTTTCTTCAGATTTATGGCTACAATAATAGGAGATCGGAGATGTGCTGGCATTTATGGTATTATGACAAATGCCAAATTTCAGTTTTATTATAATTTTAAGGGTGAAATGTGTATGTGCAGCTGTATTTTTGCAAATTTCCATATTGACTTCAATCTCCTTGAGCATTCAGCTGATAAAATTTTACGCACGAATTTCGACGTTTAAGTGTTGGCGGAATTTATGCCAACAAATTGCAGCATTCAGCTTTCTTTATTTCAGTAATATTGACATATAATGGATATTCTTGCCACTCTGATTGCTAACCTTGTAATTTGGTCTCAATTTATTGATTGATAAATTATGAAAGTTTGAGCTCTTTTCAATTTATTGTACATTCCTTTCATTACATCTAGTTTTTGTAAGTTGATGTCTAGTTTTATCTTGGCCCTTGTTTGTATTATAGGTTGGAAGACTTGGACTCAAGGTACTCATTTCGATCTGATATGGCTGCAAAGAACAGATGTGGATTTAGTTTAGAGGGACTGACAGCTCCTGTCCGTTCTAATAATAACAGTGCATCAAAGTCATTTAAAGTAGGAATCCAAAGAGGATCTGAAGGACTCCTTACCTTTGGCCGATCGCTAAGATCTGGAGTCACAAGGGCAGTATTCCCTGAGGATCTCAAAGTTTCTGAGAAGAAGATATTTGATCCTCAAGACAAGTCCCTCTTGTTTTGGAATAGGCTTTTGGTCATATCCTGTATTATTGCAGTATCTGTAGATCCATTATTTCTTTATCTTCCTATTTTCCGGAGTGATGAAATGTGCCTTCATATAGATGAAAGTTTGGCATACACAACCACAACTCTGAGGACGATAATTGATTCCTTTTACCTTATTCGTATGGTTCTCCAATTCCGAACAGCTTATATCGCCCCGTCATCTCGAGTGTTTGGGCGAGGTGAACTTGTAATAGATCCCACACAAATTGCTAGCAGATATCTTCATCGTTATTTTACCGTGGATTTTCTCTCAGTGCTACCTCTACCTCAGGTATGAAGTGTGTTGAGAAATCATAAAAACTACCAGTGTAAAGTAGACGCATGTATTTCTGCTGTGCTGTGTAAGTGATGCTGTTGTAGGTCTATCTGCATTCAGAATTTTTAGCAGACATGGTAATTAGATGTCCATGATCAGGTAGACATTTATTCTAGTCAAAAACCTAGTGAAAATCTAAATTGAGAGGATAGCTTAAAAGGTCCATTCCATATTTCCATTATAGCAGACAATGGTAATAACGTAACTGGTGCACTTGGAAGATATTTATGCCGATAATAGAAATCTTTCCACTGCTTTATTTCCTCACTCAATACAGAAATACGAAATGTGTTCCTTGTGACGAGTTTCCAATTTCTTATCATTTTCAGATCGTGGTATGGAGATTTCTTTACAGAGCAAAAGGCTCAGATGTATTGGGAACAAAACAAGCATTAGTGATCATTGTATTTATCCAATATATTCCCAGGTTCATGCGATTTATACCTCTAACTTCAGAGTTGAAGAAGACTGCCGGAGTCTTTGCAGAAACTGCATGGGCTGGTGCCGCGTACTATTTATTGTGGTTTCTACTTGCCAGTCATGTAAGTATCTTAGAAAGTGTCTGTCAGGATGCTGATTATTTATAACAAAATTTCATTACTTGGCTGGATTATTCCAAAGCTGTTTTTTAGGAGACTTATCTCATTCTATGCTCGAATTTCTTCAGTGTTTCTCTTGTTCTAGTTTAAATTACTACCCTTGACCTTCTATTTAATCAATTTGACTTTACTGAAAGTACTTTTTACTTATTTACTTACTCTCGGGAAATGAAATTTGAAAACTAGTGAACTAAAACATATATATTACTAGTCGAAACACAAAATGTTGCCTAGAGAGAAGCTGAATTGACCATAAGGGCGAACTCTGGCAGATATCGTGGGATATATAGTAGGCATTAACTGGGTATTGCCAAGTATAGAATATTATCAGTATCCAAGATAAAATCTTTATATGGTAATATTCGACCACATTAAAATAGAAAAATGTTTTATCTTGGTATAGCAGTGACCCTTTCTGTATTATTTCGAAGAAATCCTCCATCAGTTTATCTGGATTAAATTGCTTGGTATATGATTAACATGTTGTCTTTGCTAATTTAATGCAATTATTCTGTACAGATTTACACTTACTCTTGAACTGTATTAAAGATTTTGTATTAATTATTTGTCACAATTCTGTGACTACCTGAGGAGTTATTATTTTTAAAATGGCAAAAAACTCGTGATGGAGTAAACTGCAATGCCTTTGAAAACTGAAAATGCTAATTACAGAATGATCAACACTTGTTGCATATACATGCTGGTGGAATAAATATTGTACATCTATTTTGGTATCATGTCTCAGCATTATTATTATTTTTAAATATCGCCAGCATTATATTACTCTTGGAAGAGTTGCAATTCTCAATCCGACAGAAAACACTCTTTAAGAAGAAAACTGCAATTGCTTTTCAGATTGAAAATGTTAATCATGAAATGACCAATAATGCTTGTCACATACATTTATGCTGGATATTTTAGGTTGGAATGATCAGAACTTTCTGAGTTTGCATTGCTTTTTCTGATTGAGGATATTAGAGTAAAATCTACCTATCTCTCTCTCCCTTTAAATTAATTAACTGTGATTTTCTACCCGAAAACAAGATTAATATGAGACAGACCAACAAGCATCTATGCAGCTTTTTAATTTTTTCTCCTGAATATAGTTGCTTCATGCTTGATGTTCCTCCCCTAACAAGCGGTCTGAGCATAACAAATTTGAAGAACTATGGACCATAACAACTTATGCATTTGTAAAGCTCACATGGTGCTGATGACATAACAGATATGTGGGGCCTTCTGGTATCTATTGGCTGTGGAACGCAAAGATGCATGCTGGGAGAAAGCTTGTGAAGAAAGTGAAAAGTGTAATATAAACTTTTTGTATTGTGCTCGAGAGGGATTTTCAAGTATGGCAGAATGGAGAAACATCAGTCGGACTGTTCTTGACCCAAAATGTGAGATAAATGATGATGGAACCACACCATTTAAGTATGGTATATATGCACAAGCTCTATCATCTGGTATTCTTGAATCTGAGAACTTCGTCTCAAAATACTTCTATTGTCTGTGGTGGGGCCTACAAAATTTGAGGTATGATGCTTTCTTCTCCAACTCTAGTTTCTTTATTGTCATTTTACCGTTATAGCACAATGGATTCCTTTTCTATAGTTTTCTGTCAACTTGTTGCTGAATAAATAGGTAACCACCTTGGAACTGGTTATCAGAAAATTCTAAGTAATTTTGACTTGTATGCAGTGTGGTCAAATTCTTTGGGAAGCATTTGCAACTGTTTTTGTAAATAATTATCACCTTGCAATGTGTAACAAACTGGAAGTAATATGGTTTATCCATTGGATTGGGAGGCAGCTTTGGGTCCATTATGGTTATATCTCAATAGTATGCCTAATCAACTGAAGTACATGTTAGACAAGCATCTGAGTACATTTCTTACAATTACTGAATTTCCTGGACGAATTGTTGAGCACTAATATCCTTCATCTCCAATGGGAACTACACAGATATACTGGTTATAATGTTTTCATCTTAGTATTTGTCTGAAAGACATTTGTGGGCATGCTTGTATGTTTATGTCCCAAATTCAAAATAAAATGGTAAACAAACGCAAGAATGATGGATTGAAAGATCGCATAAGTGTTCCAAATAGAACTATTCAGTGTCTATAGACAAGCATGGTTTTGCAAAGTCAATACTGGCAATAGGTTTGCAAGCACTTATCTATGATTTCATTTTCCGCAGTACACTTGGTCAGGGGCTTGTAACCAGTACTTATCCTGGAGAGGTTCTGTTTTCCATTGCAGTTGCCATTTTTGGGCTCCTTCTCTTTGCTCTTCTCATTGGTAATATGCAGGTCAGTACACATTATCTTTTTCAGGGGCATAGTTAATATTGCTTTATTCTGGTCTGAACTTTTTCTATCAACTATCAGCTGATTGTAGTGAAGTAAATTAATTTAGCATTTCTATTGTGAATTGGCTTGCTTCAATTTGGCAATTGTGCAATGCAAATTCTTGAATGGTGGTGATTGTGAATGGTAACTGCCATGTTGATAGAATTTGCAAAATACCCTCAATGCATAGTGTAGGATGATAGTGTAAAAGAAAATATTCAAATGATATACATGTGGATGTATCTAATTGTTTAAGCTTTTAGATCAAGTGGTTCAATATAGTATCAGAGCAAGCAAATGTCTTGAGTTTAAGTCTTATGGCTACCCATTTAAATGAATTGTCCATAAGTTAGGCTTTGATGATTTTAAAAATCCTACTTTACACGTGAGGGGGTGTATTGAAAATACTATTTAAATGATATATATTATATTCTGCTTGTTTCTATATAATAATGGAATAGGCATTAACCAACAAGATAATGAAGATATTGAAAGAATAAAGGGATTTTGGCAGACGAAGTAAACACTAGAGAGTTTGTGCCTTCGACATTACTCTCAACAACAGGAATTTCTCAGACTAAAGAATAAAGTTGTTATATGTGCTCGGAAAATCAGGCCTATTTATACTTCACCACATCACGTCTCCAAATCATATTATAACTTGGAAAGCTTAAATAGCTCGAAAAAAGTCTGAAACCTACAATCACTAGGAAGCTCAAATCACTCAGAAAAAGTCTAAAAGCCTACTATAACTAAATCACTAAGAAAAGTAATCCTAATTCTAGTTTTAAATCTGTAAGAAATATTAACTTAAGGGTCCACATAGATTCTAATCCCTAACCAATTATATTTTAAGTCTAATAAGAGTAAGACCATTAGTCCCAAAAGGATTTGGAAAAAATGAACTTTTGCGCCTACATCATTTCCTCAGTGGTAAAGAGAACTCAACTCCGACGAAAAAACTTGGATCTATCGTGCATAGATCATATGATCAACTTGCTTAAGCTTTTCTTCAGATATCTAACTGCTTCTTGGAAAAGGTTTGCACAACGATTTCACTACCTTGCTTAAATAAGGATCCTCTTGATAGTGATTCATAAACACCTCAAATCATATTACTTGAGCATGCATTGTAGTCAGCAAGAAAGACATAAACGATGTAAACAATGAAATTTTGATAGAACAAACTGTGTAAGGAATAAAATCCCAGATCATATGTTGACCAACAATGCTTGCGTCTGAAATTTTTCACTCCAGAAAGACACAGGTCTTCCTTCTTAACTTAAAAGAACTCCTACTCTCCCATGTGATGTGTCACACACTACAACAAAGAGATATCAAAATCTGGCCAAACTACAATTGGCACTTGTTTCATGACTGTCTTGATTTATTTAGAGTGCCTTTCTGCTTCTTTCGTCCAATAAAGGTCTCTCCTTTCAAGCACTCAGCGATGGGACTCTTATTGCTCTAAAATTTCGGATAAAACTCCATAGAATGACGCTAATCTGTGGAAGCTATTAACTTCTCTAATATACTTTGGTGTAGCCTTCTTAGTGATTGCTTTAATATTTTTAGGATTTGACTTAAGCCTTTAAGTTGAAACAAGGAAATCCCAAACACCACTTCTTTAACTTAAGAGATTCACGCCAAAGAAGACACAAGGAGGGCCCATGTGTTGGATATCGTACCAAACTTCATATTGGTAAGCATCACCATGTCAAATTGAACAAAACACCTTTTAATAACGAGAACATCAATTCAAGAATCTTGTAAGGACGAGGATGCTTTTTTATAGGAAACTTGACTAAGTGTGTGACATTTTATTTTCCATACTTCCATTTTTAATGATAAACCACACAGGTCGCCTCCAATCTTTACCTCTACTTTAGAAAACGTCAATATTTACCAAATCACTAAACTTTCTCCTTTTCAAAGAAAACATATCAATTCATCCTCTTCCTTCTTGTCCTACTTTCTTTTGATAGGTAAAGTCTCACCTTCTCCAGGTACTAGGTAGCCAACTTATTTCCTCTTCTTCATCAACATATTTATCATAAATGGGTTCTACAAAATGTGAATACATAATTTCAACCTCTATCGAGTTATTTGATGGTGAGGACATGTGTAAGAAGTGTACCCATCTCAGGAAGATTATGAGAGCTACTTCCAGATGCTTTCACCGGTCCATAGTATAAATTCCTTTGCATTTTTCACTCTTATTTGATCCTCCAATTTGGCA